TTGTGAACATGAGAAAATTCAAGTGTAGGAAAACCTATACCTGAATATTTCAAGCCTCCCTTGTATGAATAAGCATATAGTATGTATGTGAAAAAGTAACTTAGTGGCGACTTACAGGCTGGCAGTCTTTCTTCACTGATGTGTATGGTTTTTCCAAGTTGCAGGTATCCTTTTACTTAAAAGTAATGAATGCCTAAGGAGAGGGGGGAGTAACTAGTGGCAACTATAACAGATTTCTAAGCTATTCATTCTTCTTAGGGAGAACTAAGGGACAGTTTGGGGAACAAGAAACAGTAGAAAGAACATATTTTGAATCGTAGAGTAAATGTATATGGTTTTCTTTTAATTTGAATAATTTACTTGATGTTATAAAGCATTCACTTGGAAGTTTTTTCATAATGTCATTTTTAACTCCCATCTTGTTCTGTAAGATAAAATACTCTGGGCATAGAAGAGGAAAAATTCTTCAATTCTCATACCATATTTTCTAGCTAAATGGCACTCTTCTTATTCCAAGCAAAATTCCAAGTTACTGTACTTTACAATTAGTATAGAGATTATTTAAAGCAGCACCAAGGACAATACCTGTCCCATCCCCTACTACCTGCAAGTTGTGCTCCTGGACAAAGATGACTCTGGTAAAGAGTGAGAGTGTCAGTGTCATCTGGCATTTTACAGGACTAGAGTTCTGGTATGCAGCTCAATCTTCCTGCTCTTTTAGAAACGAATAAAATCCAGTCAAGGTGTGGTTCTCAAACCAGGTTCATTATCTGGGAAACTTGTCATGCAGATTCCTGAGCTTTATCCTCCTCTGGAATCTCTGAGTCAGTAAGTCAGAGATTAAACCAGTGAAGTACTAGTGCAGTACCAGTCATTGCTCTAAAGTTTGAAAGGGACTGTAAAAAATGGTGCCAAAGGCTAGTTTTGTGCTAGGTTATTAAATCGCTCAGCTAGTCGGACATTGAACTAACATTTACTTTGACCTTGATAGTGATAAAGATCATTTGCTGAAACATTTTGTTCAGGAAACTTATCTTTCAACATTGGCTTATAATTTATATATATATATATTGGGCTGCCTTAAATGTCTTTATCCACATAGAACCTAGCAGTTCTTGGAATGTCATAGGCATTTGGTTTGTACTAACTGATTTAGAAGTTGCATCACCCAAAATTTGAAATAGATGAAAACTCTTTAAATTCCTTTCTTTTATTTGTGAATGGTAGGAGGAAAAGTGTCCAAAGCCCGGAATGAGGATTTTCTGTATTATATACCAGGTGAAGGTGGTTATGATTTGACAATATGCCTTTTTTCTCTCCCCTAATAAAAAGGCAGCTGGTCTGGAGTCTCTATGTCAGGCGATTTTTTTTTTTTTAGAATATGGTGTTTGGGGACATTTATTGAGAATTTGATAAGTGTCAAATACTGTTCTAAGCACTTCACTTGTATTGACTCATTTAATCCTGACAGCAGTTCTTGAGTTAGGTGCTTTAGTATCCCCTCTTTTTTAGATGAGATTAAGCAATTTGCCAAGGCCACATGATTAGTAAGTGTGATGAAAGGATCTTGCATTTTTGGCTTGGGAGTGGTCTAGAAATTTAGACCATGACTGCCAACTTAATTTCCTAGTCTTATTTCAGAAATGGAGACTTATAAGAACTTAGAGTTTAAGAAGATAAGGGTAACCAAGGAGCTCAGTACTGGGTCATTTTGGGGATATTCTGTGATCATTGAGTTATGATATTTTTCTCTTATCATACGTTGATTCCCTTCTAGTAGATGTATAACCCTTGTTTGTTAATAGAGTAGTGCCATATTTTTAAGTGATTAGCATTTTTGAAGATGAATGTGCACATTAAATCTCATTATAGCAAATAACTAGAATAAATTCATGATGGGGGAATTTTTTGACAGACATTTGTTCTGAGTAATGTTGAAAGTTTCTTGTATTGCATGTGAAGGGCTATCTGTTGAAAGAGGAAAGGGTAGTGGACATTTTCTGAGATGTAAGATAACCCGGAGTTATTTCATCAGGCAGTTTTACAATGTATAGTGTTTTAAAAACGAGCAATTTTCAAACTCCCTAGAGTTTTCTGCCATTTTATCAGGACAGACTTGGACAACACCAATGACTTATTAAGTGCCATACTGACTAATTGGAAGAGTCTTTGCTTATGGTAGCTGTTCTAAAAGACATTACATTCTGGCCTTCATTCTATTTAATGTTTTCATTTCTTTATAAACTCTTTACTTCCAGCCCATTTTTCCCATTGTCTTGGTACAACTCAGATCTGTCCAAGTTTGTTAGGGTTTTAACTAGCCAAGGAAATGATTTTTTCATATTATAGAATCTTTGGTAAAATGCTTGCAGTCGCCCTCGCCGGTTTGGTTCAGTGGATAGAGCATCGGCCCACGTACTGAAGGGTCGCAGATTAGATTCTGGTCAGGTCAAGGGCAAGTACCTCAATTGAAGGCTCAGCCCCTGTCAGGGCTCATGCAGGATGCAACCAATTGATGTGTCATGATTTCCTCTCTCTCTCTGTCTCTCTCCCTCCACTCTCTCTAAAAAGTTAGGGTATTTTTTTTTAATATATCCTCATTGATTTCAGAGAGGAAGGGAGAGGGAGAGAGAGACAGAAACATCAATGATGAGAGAAAATCATTGATCGGCTGCCTCCTGCAGGCCCCTTCCCCCCAATGGGGATCGAGTCCACAAGCGGGGCACGTGCCCTTGACCCTAATCAAACCTGGGACCCTTTGGTCCACAGGCCGATGCTCTATCCACCAAGCCACACCAGCTAGTAAAAAGTTAGGATCAACAACCACCACAACAAAAACACTTGCAGCCTCAGGCAGTCATGGCATTCAGTATAGGACTTGTTGGTATTGTGAGAGTAAGATTTCTGACCTAATCTAACTTTATTTCAGATTATTATATACTTCACTCAAAACTTTTAGAGTATTAAGAGTTCAAGAAAGCCGAAACCGGTTTGGCTCAGTGGATAGAGCGTCGGCCTGCAGACTGAAAGGTCCCAGGTTCGATTCCGGTCAAGGCCTCTCTGTAAAAAATCAATAAAATACTTCACTCAAAAATTAAAAAAAAAAAAGAGTTCAAGAAAGATAGGAGAGAAGCAAGACTTGGGCAACTGACAAATTTGTGTCCTGACATGCTTGCCATCCCTCCACCCCCGGCAAACTGTGTATTCTTTGATTAGCAATCAATATAAATTGCTTTCTTTTTCATTTCATCAAGGCCACCACCACATCATCCTCATTTTACCTACTGGTTTTGCTTATTGTTTGTCTCCTACTCTGTATTGTAAGCTTCACAAAGGCAAATATATTTTCTGTTTTGTTCAACTGTTTTTAACCTAGTTTCTAAAACAGTGTCTGCTACATGATAGGCACTCAGATTTTTGTTGAATTATTACTAACTCATTTTGCTCACTTTGGCCTGTAAGATGACAGGTCTGAATCATCTGAAATCTCAATCTCTATAAAACAGATAGGCTGAGCATTCTCTGACGGGGAGTCAGTTTTATACACCTCAGAGTTGTATTCCTGTTTGAAGAGAGAGGTTCCAGTTTTACCTTAATCCAGATTTAGTACATGGAATGTTTCCTGGTAGAAACAGTAACTAGTAAATTCAATAACAATACATAGCTCATATTGTGGAATATTTCTGACTTAAAAGTAGCCTATAGTTCTTTAAGTTTCAGGGTTTTGAACCTTTTAACCTATAATGCTGAGTATCTTTATATCCTTAATCCAGTCTTGCTGAATATCATACTTTATAATGATAATGATACATGTGACCATGTTTATTTACTACATTAAAACCAAATTTGAGCCCTAACCGGTTTGGCTCAGTGGATAGAGCGTCGGCCTGCGGACTGAAAGGTCCCAGTTTCGATTCCAGTCAAGGGCATGTACCTTGGTTGCGGGCACATCCCCAGTAGGAGGTGTGCAGGAGGGGGCTTAGGTTTCTCTCTCATCCATGTTTCTAAGTCTCTATCCCTCTCTCTTCCTCTCTGTAAAAAAATCAATAAAAAATATATTTTATAAAAAAAACTAAATTTGAATTGCAGCTTATTTCAAATATTTTCTGTATCACCACACTTTTCTTTAAAAGACTTTATATATACGTATATATATATGTACTTTTTTTTTTCTGGAGAGAGAGAGAGTTAGAAACATCAATGATGAGAGAGAATCCTACATGCCCCATACCGGGGATCAAACCCACAACCTGTGCATGAGCCCTGACCGGGAATTGAACTGTGGCTTCCTGGTTCATAGGTCAACGTTCAACCACTGAGCCACTGAGTCCTAGAATAGTATGCTTGTACCCAGATTACAGTCATACTATTCTAAAGGCCCGATTCCTATTACATCAAATTTCAGTGATGTCTTGAAATAGAGGAACGTTATCTGGCATTTGGGAACACTTTTATAATAGTGGAATTTATTCATTGCAGTAAGATATTCTTATTTATTTTTGAGTTATAGAATTATCCTACATAATAAAGAGCTAATATGCTGATTAGACCTGATGGCAGAATGACCAGTGGGCAGAACCGCGAGGCAGCTGAGGCACAAGGGCCAAGGCAGCCGGGCCGCGAGGGCCGAGCCCCTCACATGAATTTCGTGCATCGGGCCTCTAGTTTTGAATAAAGTAATAATTTTTCTTTTGTCTGATTATTTAGCTTCTCACATGAAAAAGAACATAAGCTGAATAAGGGTAATCCCAAAGGTTTTTCTCTTTCACATCTTCCCAATTATTCACACTCAAGGCTTTGCTACCTTGGGTCTACTTAAGTCTCACCTGTTCAACCTGAACCTTTGATTCATTCATATGGAATGATTTAAGACCTATTTTGTTCCAACTCTAAAGATCCAACAATGTGGAAGAATGCACCAAGACAACGCCTGCCCTTGGAACAGTTGTTTTTAATCTTTTTTCCCCAGTAAAAACTTGCTAGCTTGGGCAGTTGGAAAGCAGTGTGCTAAATCAATGGCTACAGTGGTGTTAATAACTGGTAAGCCTTAATGTATACTTTCTAGAAAGATATTTTCTGTTTTAAAAGTATTTCTGGAGTTATCTCTTAAGAAATCAATTTGCATAGTTCAGTTTTGGTTGAATTGGCAAATCGGTGGTAGGATTTTGGAGCAGGCAAGCTTTTTCAGTACCTTTAGCTTAAAATGTTGAGGCCTTCTGTACATGGGACCAGTCTTCCCAATGGATAGAACAGAATAATTCTAGTCTGATTTTTTGGCTCAGAGGGGATTCACTGTATCTCCTAAAAATCAAAAAGAACTCTGGTCACTGTTTGTTCTTCTCAGATTCTAAGACTGTAGCAGTGGATTTATAGAAGCAGTGTCTTCTGAATTGTTCAGTTTACAGATGAGAGTTTATCAGTACTTCATAACATCAAGTTGTTTTGTATGGATGGCGTTATTTCTGTTAAATAGCTCTACCAAAACAAAGGAGGGGAACTTTCCCAGGTGTCCCAGTCTCATCTCTTCTTTATGCTTTCCCTTTACAATAGAAAAAGCAGACTGAAAAGTATTTGTCATGAATTTTTGTCATTTGCAATTTGTAGCATGATGTGGCTTTTCTGTTTCACCATTGGCAATTGTATGCATGTCTTATAGGATAACTGTTGGCATTGTTTTTGTTAAATATTTGTGTGTGTATATATACATCCTGTGTGTATATATGTACTTTAAAAAATAAAACGCATGCTGCTTGGCCTGACTAGCTAATGTGTAATTGTACTTGGTAAACAATTCTTTTCTTTCAAATTTCAATCATAGAGGGTCTCTGCTCTGATGAGCCACCTTCAGAAATTAGGACTTCCTCCTTTTTTGCATCTTCTGAAATACATAACACTGACCGTACAATACTCCATGGAGAGCAAAGCAAAGAGTTAGGCAGCCAGCCTATTTTAGCCAAAGAAGGAAAAGGAAAGGACTGCTTGGCTCTTCTAGATGTGAAAACGATGGAAAAGCCTCAGGGGACCAGTAAAGATGGAGCCAACTCCCCAGTTTCTGTTGCAGAAGGAGGTCACTGTAACCATCCTTCCATCCCAGCCAGTTTCCCAGATCGTCCTGCTTTTCTCTCAGAGAAAGTTGTTCAGATGGAAGAGCAAATAAATAAAAATCAAGAGTCCAAGAACCTAAATGAGATACCAAGTAGGGACGACAAAACTGCCTTGGATGCTGATGACAAATTCATTTTGCTAACTGCCCAGAAACCACCCACTGAGCAGTCTAAGGCAGAAGGCATTTGTACGAACTCCTTATCCCCGTGCAAAGTTTCAGGAGGTGGTGTTATTGAAAAGGACTCCCCTGAATCACCATTTGAAGTAATTATTGACAAAGCAGCATTTGACAAAGAATTTAAAGATGCATATAAGGAGAGCGCAAATGATTTTGATAGTTGGGCAATGCACACCGATAGAGAATCATCTGCAGACATTTCAGAGTCTAATGACAAAGTATTTCCACTAAGAAATAAAGAGGCAGGGTGTTACCCAACCTCTGCATTGCTCACTAGACAGTTTTCACACACAACTGCAGCATTGGAAGAGGTGTCTAGATGTGTGAGTGATATGCATAACTTCACTAATGAGATACTGACTTGGGATTTGGTTCCCCAAGTGAAACAGCAGAGTGATAAATCTGACTATGTCACCAGAACTACAGGACTTGACATGAGTGAATATAATTCAAAAATTCCAGTTATAAATCTTAAAACTAACACGCATCAGAAAACTTCTGTGTGTTCTATTAATGGGAGCACTCCCATCAGTAAATCAACAGGTGACGGGGCAGAATCATCTCTCTCACAAGAAAATGCTGTCATTAGAAAGCCTGTACCGGGCTGTCTCAATTCCATGGCAGACGTCAGTAGTAAAGGTGTGCGAGGCAATGTGCAGAAACAAGACGACACACTTTCAGCGTTACCTGTGTCTCCGTTTGAGAAATGTGTCTCTTTGGGTTCTGGAGGGGCCACAGTGAAAGTGCTTTTACCCGATGGCCCCCTGAAAGGCGAAATGAACTGGCAGAGCTCTGTGTTGGGAGAAGGGACAGAGGCTGATAGTTCTGGTGAGTCTGATGACACAGTAATAGAAGACATCACAGCTGATGTTTCATTTGAAAGTAGCAAAATTCAGACTGGAAAACCTGTCTCCACTTCAAGTGCTATTGTAAAAGCAGATGAAAGAGAAGTCAAAGAAATTCTCAATTATAATAGGGAAACCAAAACATCTGAAACCTTTGAAGGGTCTGTCAATGACTCTGAGCCAAAAGTTCAGCCTGATTTTCTTAAAAGGAGTCCAGCCAGTATGGTGGCATGTTCCCAAGTACATGATATGATTGTCATGTCAGGAGATGTGAAGCGGTCAGACAGAATGAGTGAAACTACTCCTGCTGAAAAGGTTGTTATAACTGAGGACCCAAAACTTCCTTCAGCAGCATCTTCAAATCATTTTAATGAGACTGAATTCTCACTAAATGTGACAGCCTCTACCTATTTGGAGTCATTACATGAAAAAAATATTACAGATACAGATGATTCTTCCCCAGAGGACCTGATAGCAGCCTTTACAGAAACCAGGGAGAAAGGAATAGTAGATAAAGATAAAGATAAAGGAAATGTATTTGAAGCAACATCAGAGAAGACTATGGATTTCAGAACAACTCTTCCTGTAGAAGTCTTGCATGAAAGTGAGTCAGGTGGTTCTGAAATTAAAGACCCAAAAAGCAAATACTCTCAACAAAACAAACAAACAAGTGGAAGTGAGCTTTTGGATGTTTTCCCCACCCACGGTACTTCAGTAGCATCTCTTGACTGGGAACAGGAACAGCTCACAATCAGAGCCCTTAAAGAACTGAGTGAAAGGCAGGGTGAGAAGTTACCAGATAAAATAGAGTCTCCTTCTGAAGAAATACTCAAGCAGACTTTCACATTTGCTCCAGAATATTCTCGGCCACAGAGATCGCACGATGTCCTAGAACACGCCGATGTCAAAACTGGATCTGACCTTGGGATTTCCGAAAAGCCCACTGTTATCAAAGAAACTACTAGCATAGATTTTATTTCCAGCCTTAACAAGACTGAACTGGTAAACAAGCATGTCCTAGCAAGACTTCTGACAGACTTCTCAGGTAACCGTTTCCATTTGAAATACTGCATGCGGTGAATTCTGCTATGATTACTTTATCAGAGTGCCATTTTTCTTAGTCTCTGATTTATATCACCAGATTATGGCTAGGATAAAAACACACTGTAAACTTGGGAGAGGAAGGGTTGTTGTTTTTTTAATGTTTGCTTGGTTTGCTTATACAAATATTTCCCAAAGCAGACCAATTGTTCAAGTTAATATTCTAAAAAAATATTTTTTTATTCCAGTTTTTTCTAGGTTCTCCTTTCCTTATTGGTTGACCCTAGGGTGAACACTGCTTTTAAGAATCTCTTGCCAGACAGGCATGGCTGGGTGGTTGAGGGTCAACCTATGAACCGGGAGTTCAGGGTTCAAGTCTCGGTCAGGGCACATGCCCGGGTTGCGGGCTCGATCCCCAGTGTGGGGTGTGCAGGAGGCAGCCGATCATTGATTCTCTCTCATCACTGAAGTCTATCTCTCTCTCTCCCTCCCCCCTCCTCTCTGAAAATTAAAAGAATATCTTTAGGCTCTTATTTACAAAGCTTATTTTAAATCTTCATAATAATAACACTATTTAACACTTGAGTTTTTTGCTATGGGCCTTGTGCAATCTATTTGGCAATCAAAGATGAAGGAATTCCTGCTGGGATAGACAGTAAATGAAACTTTTAATTAATTTGATCTTATACCATAGAGATTTTATGCTCTGAAAGTAGGTAACCTGTATTATAGTACTATTTTGTGAGTAATACTTAAGACAACTTATGTATCCTTCTACTTTGGAACTCACTTAATGTTGTTCAGGCCGAACTCATTATATGGTACTAGAAGCCCTCCCCTAATATTCTGTTTATTTAAATGATTACTTTCCTAGCAATTGACCTTCAGTTAAAATGCTGTCTTTTCTAGAGTCTTGGAAAGTGTAAGAAAAAAAGGATATTTAAAGCCCTCCAAAAGGGACCATCAACCTCTAACCTGATACCAAGTTCTGTACTTCCTCTGTGGTCAGTGTCAGGTGCTATGTGGGGATCTGTGGTTTTTCAGACTTTTGACAATCCCTTTTTTCAAATGAAATCATAGAGAGTTGTCTAAAACAAAAGTGAGATTTTTGTTAGTATAAACTTATGCGTGATTATACCACTTACCTTTTTTTCTGTAAGGTTTTTTTATGCACAGAGTGGGGAGGGGCTCAGACCTTGGCAGCTGGTTTCCCCTTCTTACAGCCAGAACACTGCTCAGCTCCTCCTACTGGGCTGCCCTTCATGAGGAGCAAATCTCACAACTCTCGGACCTTGTCCCTCACCAACTTGCACTACTTCCATGTGCTTGGTAGGTGCCCATGTTCCTGGCTGTGCCTCGGCTTCCTGACATTCTTGGTCACTTTGTGGCCCTTGTTGAGGGCCCATGGCCATAGGGTACCACAGAGCTATGGCTGCTGTGGCAGAAGGGCACCATTTACCTTGTATAGAGGCATTTCTTCACTGAAGACCATGCGCAGATAACTTGATCTTCCTAAATTTTAATCCTTGCCCGGTTGGTGTGGCTAAGCCATTGAGTGTTGACCCAGGAACAAAGAGGTTACTGGTTCTACCCCTGTAGTGGGTGTGCAGGGGGCAGCCAATTGATGTTTCTCTATCATCGATGTTTCTATCTCTATCCTTCTCCCTCCCTCTCTCTCTAAAAAAAATAATAAAAACATATTTTTAAAAATAAATAAATTTTATTCCTTAAAATAGAGATAATTTATAATAGTATTTTGAAGATTAAATGTGAAAATGCAAGTAACAGTGCCTATGACATAGTAAATATTCATTTAGCACCAAGTGTAGGACCTGGCCAGATAATTATTTAATTAATTGTTAATTAAGTGAATGCATTGTTCATAATTATCAGTGAAAACATCAAGGATTTTTTATAAACTCAAGAATTTGAAATGGCAGTGAAGGATAGCTGTTATTCTCAAGTAATTGAAGATTATTGAACTTGGATTTAGGAGTGCCATATTCTCCCATTTACTGTGTCTAGAAGTGTGACATTGAACAATCTGTAAAGTGAGGATATTGAAGTAGATGATCATTTTTTTTTTTTACACTAAGCAACCTACAAGGTTGTTTTTTAGTAGATGATCTTGAATATCATTTTAGTAATATGATTCTCTGACTCTGGTATAACTTAGGTTTCTACATGAGTTGTTATAATTCTTACAGTAGTTCTTTTGAGTGATGAGGCATATGATAATTAGACTATAAGAACTCCAGTGTCTAATTCTGGCAAGTTCCTGCTTTAGTGTGACCTTAGACAACCAGCCTAACTGGTTCAGCATCTTCCTTGTTAATATGGTGGTAATTATTTTGCTTTACTTTATAGTGTTGTAGTATTTAAAGTTGTTCGTAACTACTAAGTAATTCCCAACTGAGTTATTTAATCCAGTGTGAGAGATGAAAACGGCTATGGAAATTTAGGATATTTGTCACTGACAATTCTATGATTAGTAGATATTTTTAGATGATAATTAAGGAAGACCAGTATAATTAGACCAAGAACATGACAGATCTTCCTTTGTGGGTTTCAGAATTGAAAACCTTTTAAAATTGTCTTACTTTATGAATAAATCTCTTCAAATGTAAGCTACTTCAGTAAGATGTATCAGTCTCTAGTTCTTTTCCAGGTGTACAAGGTATACATTCACCAATATAGACAGTATGCTAGGCCATAAAACAACTCAGTAAATTTAAAGGACTAAGATAATATCAAATATGCTCTAAGAATATAATGAAATTAAATTTTAAAACAGGAAAATAAGATACCTAGGAAAATTCCCAAATATTTGGAAATTAAGCAAAGACACTTTTACATAATCTATGGCTTAATGAAATCACAAGGAAAATTTTTAAATATTTTAAACTGAATGACAATGAAAATACAATACTGTGTATCAAACTTGTAGAACACAGTGCTGAAAGGGAAACTTATAGGTCTAATACTTAGATTAGAAAAGAAAAATATCTAAATCCAATGTCTAAGGTTTCCACTTAAGAAGCTAGAAAAATGCCTGGCCGGCGAGGCTCAGTGGCTGAGTGTCAACCTATGAACTATGAGGTCACGGTTCGATTCCTGATAAAGGCACATGCCCAGGTTGCCAGCTTGATCCCCAGTGTGGGGTGTGCAGGAGGCAGCCAAACAATGATTCTCTCTCATCATTGATGTTTCTCTCTCTCCTTCTCCTCTCCCTTCCTCTCTGAAATTAATAAAAATATATTTTTTTAAAAAGAAGAAGCTAGAAAGAGAACTAAGTAAGCCCAAAGTAAGTAGAAGGAAGGAAGTTATAAAGGTAAGGGCAGAAATCAATGGAATAAAAAACAAAATTAAGGATGCCAAAATTTGGTTTTTGGAAAAGATCAACAAAGTTGATTTCTTGATTAATCAAGAAAAAAAGAGAAAACAGATTACCAATATCAAGCATGATAAAGGGATTATCACTTGAGATCCTATTAAAAGGATAATAGAATATTATGAACTTTATGCCAACGAGTCCATCAATTTAAATGATATGGATAAATTCCTGGAAAATTATAAGCTTACCAAAGCTAACACAATTTCTATTAAGTTTTTTTTCCAAAAAATCTTACCCAAAAAAATGTCCAGGCTCAGGTTTTACTAGATTCTTCCAGGCATTTAAGGAAAAAGAGCACTTTCCAACTCAGACTAGTATATAGTAACAACAAAACTGGACAAAGATATTACAAAAAAGTTTATAGACTAATGTTTCTCATGAACATAAGATGAAAAATTCTTAAGACATTATTAGCAAATCAAATCCAACAATATACCAAAAGGCTAATGCATCAAGCAGGGTTTGTTCCAGGAATACAGCTTGTTTTAAGATTGGAAATTTAATAAACATAATTTACCACATTAACATAACAAGAATAAAAACTATGTGATTATTTCAATTAATACAGAAAAGGCATGTGAAAAACATCCTTATCTGATTTAAAAAAAGGTTTGGGTTTGTTTGTTTGGGTTTGGTTTTGGGGTGTTCTTTTGTGTGTGGTTTTTTGTTTTTTGTTTTTGTGGTTTGGTTTTTTGTTTTGTTTTTCAGCAAACTAGGAATAGAAGGTAATCCCAATCTAATAAATTGCATCTATTTTTTTGTTTTGTTAATCCTGACCAAAGCATATTTTCCCCCAGTGATTTTCAGAGAGAGAGGGAGAGGGAGAAGGAGAGGTATGAGAGAGACACATCAATTGGTTGTCTCCCACACGGAGATAGAGCCTGCAACCAAGGTATGTGCCCTTGACCAGAATTGAATCCGAGACCCTTGAGTCCACGGGCCAGCGTTCTAACCACAGAGCCAAACTGGCTAGGGCTAAGTGGCATCTATTGAAAAGTACAATTGATGTTGTATTTAATGCCAAAATATTGAGCATTTCATCCTAAAATTGGGTAAGGCAAGGGTGCTCACTCTGGCCATTTGTATTCAACATCACACTGGAAGTCCTACCCGTTGAATTACAATAAGATATAGAAATAAAAGGAATGAAGTCTGGAAAAGAAATTGTTAAACTGTCTTAATTTACAGATGACATAATTGTTTACATAGAAAATGCTAAGGAATCTACAAAGCGACTAGGAGTAATAAGTGAATTTAGCAAGGTTATACAGGATATTAGGTTAATACACAAAACTCAAATGTTTTATTTATTACTAGAGGCCCTAGCAGCTGCCAGCTGCCAGCCGGGGCCTCCCTCCCTTCCCCTGGCCGGCCCCACCCCCTGGTCGAACTCCTGGTCGAGGAGACAATTTGCATACTACACTTTTATTATATAGGACTAGGGGCCTGGTGCATGAAATTTGTGCACTGGAGGGGTGGGGTTCCCCTCAGCCCAGCCTGCCCCCTCTCAGACTGGGAGCCCTCAGGGGATATCCTACTGACGGCTTAGGGAGTGGCCTAAGCCTCAGTCTGGCCTCCCTCTGCAGAGGCGACCAGGCTGATCAGGGAAA